TACCATCAAACAAATAAAGAATAATAAAATGTGTGCCGAATTTATTATAACTGTCAGCAAATGTAAACATTTGGATCGAAATTTACTGAATGAATAATTGCATTATAAACAATTGATGAATTGAGCTGGATAACATATTAAAAAAATATGGTGAATTGGACTTAAGTTTTATTAAAAAACTTTATAAATGTGGCTTGGGACGATATTCTGAACAAGTCTATTGAGTTCAATTTAAACATTATTTTTTTGGGCTTTACCAAATCATATCGGCGGATCACGCGCTTTTTTCTCGGTAAAAAATATCAAAGATCTCATTTTTCTTATCAATTTTTGTCGATAATCATGCCATTTTCTTTGTTCTTTTTTTTCGATTAGATATTCCGATCAAATTCTAAATTTTTTCGAAAAATAAAAAATTTCAAACAAAACCGAGATATAATATCAAAATCATTCCAATTTTACAGTCTCGTTTTACTAAATCATAGTAAAAAAGTGCAAATCGTCTGATTCCATAACATATCTATCAAGATCTGGAATTTTTTTATTTTGATTTAAGGTTGTCGTCCTTATTTGGCTAAAATGCCTCAATGAATCATAAGAAATTGTTTCAATCGGGTGATTATAGTACGAATCTATCAAGATCTGTAATCTTTGTTAAGAATTTATGATTTTTTTATTTTTTCTATAAAACCGTATTTTCAGTTAATTTTATAAGTCGATTAATATTTTCTTGTCGTCCCTATTTTGCTAACATACATCAATGAATTATAAGAAAATGGTTCAATAGGGTGATTATAGTACGGATCTATCGAGATCTGTAATGTTTGTTGAGAACACATAATTTCTTTTTAAAAAATCATGTTTTCAGTTGATTTCAGAATTAAGATTAGATATAAAATCTTATTTTAGTGTTTGTTTTGCCGTTTTCTTTCAAAAAAATTGAAATATCTACATAATTTGATGTCTTTCGCTCAAAACATAGATTTGTTTTTGCAAATAATGAACTAATATTGTTATATTTAATGATATTCTTATGGTCTTCTGAAGAATATACATGTTGTTCGGTTGCAACAATCGATCTGCACATACATACAGCCATGTGTCCGGTTTTCAAATTAAAAAAAAAAAAATCGTTAAGTACACCTCATTTTTACTCAAAAATTTGTTAAAATAAGATTTTAATATTCATTTATGTTGTTTATTAAATATTTTACTTTAATTTTAAGGATGTGCGATCGAACAAAGGTGAAAGTACTAAAAAAAAAAAATAAAATAAAGCAACAAAAAAAGTAAATAAAAAATATCATTCTTGAATTTTGTAAGGAATAAATGGAAAGTACAATGACAACAAAAACCACGACTCAAGTAGCCAACCAGATAACCAAAAAAAAAAAGAAAGTTCATCAAGATCAGATTTTTTTCAGCTAAGCAGGTAAAAAAAAAACTAAATTATTTAACCAATATAAATAAGAAAAAAAGGTCATTATATACATTTTTAAACTTTCCGAGTAAATAAGAGATATGATAATTACAACAAAACCCATGACACATAGGGGGATAATGTAATTTTATGCAGAATAATAAAATTAAATAAGAGAAAGAGTAATTGCTTTAGGCGAGAAATGAAAACTGATAATATTAAATGCTGAAACTTTTTGCGGGATAATATAATTAAATGTAGGATAACAAAATTATTTGTTGTGTTGCTCCAAATTATATATAAATAGATATAGATATAGTAATCAACTTGTGCAATTGCACATAGAGTAATACTTAAAAAAGATAACAATATAAAAAAAAAACAAAAATAATTCATAATTTAATTCATGAAAAAAATATGAAATAAGAAATGATTCTCAAAATTGATTTTGATCATTAATTGCTATGGAAGAGCCGTTACCATTTTCTTTATGTTAATACATCTAGCTATTTTCATGAGTGGGTGTGACTTAAAATTTGAGTTCAATTTTGTAACTCTCTTGATTTATTTATGTTCATAATTTATGACATTCAAGCAAGTTATTTTGTAATTTAAAAATAAAATTGAATGTTGAAAAATTTGGAGGGAGAATAAAATTTAATGTATGGTAATAAAATTAAATGATGTGATGCTCCAAATTATATATACTAGTTTTTGGCCCGTGCATTTGCACGAAAAGTTATATGATAGAAGAGAATAAAGTAAAAAAAACAAATACAAAAATAATAACATAATCATTGAAACAAAATAAGAAATAATATCTAAATATTATTAAATATTTCTTTATATACAACGTTCGTGGTTTTTCTATCGTCACAATCTCCATCAACACAAATTATTATCTCCAAACTCCTCCGACTGATGACTCTAGATCGTGTCACATACAATTTTGGTCAACAAATCTCTTGTCAACACCTTTTGAAGATGGTAGTTTGCACATTTTGGTACATGACTATTCTAACGATTATATCTTCAAAATAATAATAATA